CAGAGCGAAGGTCTCGGGTTCGAATCCCGGTGTGTGCACCTCGGGCATCCCAGTGCGGGGGGGTGTCAGAGGTCCACTGGTGATCCCCGATTGATCCTAGGGAAGGGTTACAGGCATGGCGGCCTGGGGGGTTATGGGCGCACTCACCCGCTACACAAACAAGCCCTTCTATCCCAGTGGTTAGTGGCTGGGATTCTGACAGAAGCGGCAAAGACGGAGTTTTTTTTTACTGCAAGATTCAGCTGCGTATAAGAGGGTCTTATTAAGGTGGGAGAGTGTAGCGAATGTAGAATTTATTACTGTAGATCTGCCTTAGGAAGGACAGCCTCGAGAAGTTCGCGTCAGTGTGGCTCGGCCTAAACTTTCGCCCCGAACCAGTTCCAAATCGCCCCGTACCAATCACGATACTTCCAACCCATGTACGTCACGAGGTCCTCGCCTAGCATGTTTTCGCCCAATAATTTCTCGATCTTTCTTCGTATCGTCAACTTCCATAATCACATTCTATTTTTAGTTAATCCGCGCACTCTGTTTATGTAATGAATATACGATTCATTACTGTTGAAACTGCCCTTAGCGAGAACAACCCCGAGCACTTCGCGTCAGTGTGGCTCGGCCTACACTTTCGTACCAAACCAACGCCGAGTCGCCCCGCACCAATCGCAACATTCCCAACCCACGCACGTTACGAGGTTCTCGCCCAGCACGTATTTGCCCTATAAATGCTTGCCTTATTCATTCAATCGTCATTATGTGTTTACAGTCTCTTTATGAAGACTTATGCGCACTCTGTTTTAGTACAACTTATAATAATTGGTATCAGAGCTAATTTCCTAGCTACCCCTCGGGTACATTAGAGTGTATTACCCCTGGGGGGGGGACGGGGGGGGGGGGGGGGGGACAGGGAAGGATGCCGTGGTGACAGGAGCAGCGCAGTAGCCGGCCAGGAGAACGGGTAGTTGCTCCTAGCGGCCATGAATTTTACGAGCACTCTTGTTGCACCAACGGATCCTTGCCCTCGACGGTCAAGATCGACCATAGCCTCCCTTCCCCCAGGTGGCGTACAGCTTTTGCTATCGTCGCATTTTATTGTGTGAGTTATTTTCGACGTTTCCGTTTAATCTCGGCGTTGTTTTTATGCGGCACTGGGTGTTAGGAAGGTTGTCGTCATTGCATGCGCGAGATTCTTGGAGCAGCTGTCGTGCGAGTTGAAGTTTTCACGTGGTCGTCAACTGCGCACGAAGAAAGCGGAGTTAATGCGTGCGGCAAGTGGCGTCGGGCGATTTTGTTATGTTGCGCACGAAAAATTCGGACGTCTTCAGCAAGTGAGAAGCGGCGTCACTGTGCGCGAAGATTTCGGGTAGCAGCACGTGGAAAACGAATGCTGATTGAGCAGCCAGGTGCAAGGTGATTTGCGTTAGAAAAAACAACAGCGAGGAGAGGCGGCGTGGCGACTGCTCGAAGAAAGCGGGGGTCTATCGTTGTCCCGCCCGGGTGCAGCGGCGTTCTGCATGATTGCGTGTCGTATGCGTTTTTTCGACAGGAGCGGCACAAAATGGGATGGAAGTTATTTTCAGACCACCGGAAAGCGTACTTCTGCGCAAGCAACGAAGTCGGCGACAATTTTGGAGCAACAGCAATAGCCGACACTGTGCTTCCCCCTGATCAAGGGAAGTTGCGCCGCAGACAGGGCAGTACACCGACGGGACAACGATTTCACGAAGCGTCTAGACCCACGATTTTCGAGGGTTCTGCAGGTTACAATATACGGAGTTGCGGGAAAAGCGGGTCTGGTGAGAGAAACGGATTCCGGGCTTCAGGAGGCGAGAAAATGACCTACAGGGAAACGCTCAAGGTGATGTTTAAGTCTCGGCTAAGCAGCGGTGGCCATGATGGGATCCACTACCGGCCGAGGTTTCCGAACGGCTCACATACCTCACACAAGAAGACCTCGAAGGCACATGTTGGCCCTAGACAAAAAAGGCGGGGCCTTGTATTTAGCCCTATGCAGGTTAGAAAGGAGCGGATATTGCGCTGGTTCGACAGCTGGGCATTCAAGAAATTTTCAAGCGACACTGTTTCAGCCCCGACAAAAACGGACCATCGGCGACAGTTGCCCTGCTGAAAATGTCAAAGTTGAAGAAGTTGTGGTAGCTGGCAGTGTTTCTCCTAATTCAACGGTCTATCCGATGAAGGTGTAGCAGCGAAGACGGAGTTCCAGAAGCTGTGGAGTTTTAAACGCGATAGGCACGGTGGGCAGCGAAGCGGCCGGCTGAGCGTTTCATATGATAAATCCGATCCGACTACGATTGCGTTCGCGCCTTCATCGAACGCCAGAAAAATCGCGGGCAACACGAAGAATGCCCCAACCAACAAAAACAAAAGCTGGATGAATGGCGGCTTGCAAAATTGTTATTCGTCCTACCCTCGACGTACACGGTGGTTGTGGTTTTGTGCCCGCGCAGCTGTGCACATTTTGATGGGCAGCAGTTATCTTTTCGCACTGTACTTGTCCATTTTCTCTAACATTTTGTCTGACAGATTCAGCATGACGGATGCTTGCGATGGCTTCAACGACATTAACGACTTCAGATTCATCGTACTCTGACAACACGTCAGAATTTTCCGCCAACTTCACGTTCATCCTTACCGTCCGACAGGCATCCGCCACATCTCATTCATCGGCGGATTTCAACTCGACATTTGCGTTCAACCGCTCGATCGACATTGGCAGAATCAACGGCTGACATTCAAACTTTGAAGTCGGCCTGGTCAACGCGCTCAGCCACGCGTCAACTCGAAAGTCAACGTGCTTCTGCACCGTCAGATCAGTTTTCGACCGAGTTCTGCAGTTTTCACACTACTGCAAGACTCGTCTACAGATGAGGGGGCCTTATCTAGAAGGTGGGAGAGTGTAATGAATATACAATTCATTGCTACTGAAGCTGCCCTTAGCGAGGACAGCCCCGAGCATTTCGCGTCAATTTGGCTCGACCTACACTTTCGTATCGAACCAACGCCGAGTCGACCCGCACCAATCGCAACATTCCCAACCCATGCACGTCACGCGGTTCTCGCCTAGCACGTATTCGCCCTATGAATGCTTGCCTTATTCATTCAAAAGTCATTTTGTATTCACAGTCTCTTTATAAAGTCTTTTGTGCACTTTGTTCAGTACAACTCATAACACTTTTTCCAAATCTGGCAACTTCTAAACGCTCCTCGAATTTGTTTCTCACCCAACCCAATTTCTCAGACGTCCATGTTGAAATTGCAAAAGGAGGTACTTTTGAGTTTTGGATGTCCAGGGCTAGGCTTGTACCGTTTGGTCAGCAGTTGATAGTTGTCGTCAGATAGAGTTTGTACCCTAAGAGGTCACACTTCGAGGACTTTGCTCAATCCCGCGGAAGCGCGGTTTGATTTGTTTTCGCCACTTGGCGAGCCTATAATCACGTGAATCGCGATCTGTTTTATTGTTACAAAATTCAAGAGAAATCTAGTTAAGTTCTGTACTGTGCTGCCCGCGGGGAAAAATAAAACCCATATGGGCAAGGCGTGCGTTAGGGATGCATCAACCCTAAACACCTAGAGGCAAGGTGTTTAGGGTTGATGCCTCCCTAACGCATGCCAGGGTCGAATGGATATTATTTTTTCTCGCTTTTAGCGCAGTACAAAACCTGAATAAATTTTGGTTGACGTTTGTGATAACAATAAAACAGATCGCGGTTCACGCGATCGAAGGCATGCCACGTGGCGATAATAAAACAAACCGCGATTCCACGGAATTGAGCAAAACTCTCTCACACCTCCAGCCCTCACCTTTCCCGGTAGGAGACTGCAACGAGGGTAGTGGCGAAATCGACCCGTCGCGGTCTGGAAACTGCGGGACACACTCGCAAAGAAATGCCTCAAATCAAGTGGGCCCCTGATAAAAGCCTTGATGCTGAAGCAACTGGCGGCCATGCGGACCCTGCCTTGCTCATGGCGAAGCAGAACCCAAACCAAGCCATCAGGAGGTCCTTCCTCTCCTCCTGCGCATTCCTTCGGCCCTCCCTGAGCGGCGCCAAGGCGCAGGGAACTGTGGGCGCGGGGAGGCGCCTACCTGCCCTGCCTTGCTTCCCCGCGGACCCCTCAGCTCCGGAATCTGTGCGATCTCTGCTGCGGGGGGACGGGAAGGAGCGGCGTTGGGGCAGACGAGTTGTATCTGGCGCAGGTGTCCTGGTTTGGGGGGTGGTTGCCAGAACCTTCGTGGTCCCCATTTATATAGACGCGATATCTTACTGCACCATAGTTAACCATGCCAAACTACCCTGATTAATTAATGTTTGGAGGTCTGGCTAAGGGCGTGTGTCCTCCAGGCTGAAATTGGAGTTCGAACTCCAACCACCTTTCACCGTGCCTAAACGTAGTTTTACTATATTATAATGTGGTAAACCGCTCTAAATGTTCAAACTTTGGCCTAAGTTTGACCCCGAGAACACACGCCCTAAGGCCAAGCCACAGATAGTGTCTGCTTTATGGCTCAAGTCTTTCGCTAGCCTGACTACACCTCCAACAAGCTCCCTCCAAAGACACAGTTTGGTGGGCGAGATTTCTGCTCTGGCGTTCTTTCGCTCTTTTAATACGCTGCCTTGAGCTTGAAAGCCGACCATTTATCTCGTGCGCACTGGCTTTTTTTTCCGAATCAGCTAGTGTCGCGAATCGTGGGTCAGCGCAATGCGGAACCTCGACGATGTCGTCCGTGCCTGCAGATCGGATCTCCAGGCATGAACCGTTGCCACGCGGCGCACACGCGTTTTAGCGTTTAGTTCTCTCCGCTTGCATCCTGAGACCTAACGATTTATATAAAGATACAAGCCCTGGTAGTGCGTCTTCGTGTAGCCGACCCGGCAGCAGCGGCAGCGGCGTGTAAACCAGGGAAGTTCGGATTCATCGTGTTGGTGTTCCGCAAGTCCTTTCGAAGGTAGCGCGACCCACCGGAGGTTGCGAGGCAAGGACAAATGGACGGCGGAGACGGTGGTGTCGATCAGAGCGGTCGCTCCATGGGTCGCACAGTCACCCCGCGACGAGCGCTCGCTCGCACACAGTCGCCCAAGCCCAGCCGGACGACGGGCGGACCGGGCGTCGACATGGAGCCGCTCGTGCAGGCCCTGGGCGACTCGGACGTGGAGCGCGCGCGAGAGGCGGCGTCCGCGATCCGGTCGTCGCTGAAGAACAACCCCGACAACAAGGCGCGCCTGCTGGCGGCGGGCGGCGTCGACGCGCTGATTCGGCTGCTGAAATCGCGCGACACGTCGTGCGTGGACCACGCGGTGACGGCGCTGCTGAACCTGTCGCTGACGGACGGCGTGGAGCCCATGGTGACGGCGGCGGGCGGCATCGAGGGCATCGTCGGCGTGCTCAACTCCGGCAGCAACGTCGCGCGGGAAAACGCCGCCGCGGCGCTGTTCACGCTGTCGGGCCCGGCGGACAACAAGCTGCGCGTGAAGGACGCGGGCGCCGTGCCGGGGCTCGTGAGCCTGCTGCGCACGGGCAGCCTGCGCGGCAAGAAGGACGCGGCGCTGGCGCTGTTCAACCTGTCGCTGGAGGACTCGTGCATCGGCGAGATCATTGACGCGGGCACGGTGCGCGTGCTGATGGCGCTGCTGCGCGGCGACGCGGACGCGGGCATGGAGGACAAGGTCATGGCCGTCGTCGCGAACCTCTGCAAGTTCTCCGAGGGCCGCCACGCCGTGCACAAGGAGGGCGGCATCCAGGCGCTGCTGGGCGTGATCGAGTCGGGGTCGGCGCGCGCCAAGGAGGACGCGGCGGTGTCGCTGCACCTGCTGGCCGTGCACAACGCCGCGTCGTTCCAGGCCATCGTGGACGAGGACTGCTCGCCCGCGCTCTCCAAGCTCGCGCAGTCCGGCACCACGCGCGCCAAGGCCAAGGTGACGTCTCGTGCTTGCTTGCTCCGCAAGGTGTAGTGACGCGTGCGTTGAAGTGACCTGTTTCAAGGCGACGTGCTCTTGCGTTCAGCAGGTTGACGATATGAGATGCATCCGTATGCTTGCCGTAAAATTCTTTATTTCCCTCCGAATCTGTTGAATAGCAACGCAATTCGGGTGTAGCACTCCGCTTCCAACTTTCTAGGAAATACCGGAACTTACTCAGAGTCTCGCAGCGGCTCTCGCCTCAGTCGTCGCCGCGTGAAAAGCACGCGGGCGTAACTCACAGGGCCTCCCGATCGCGCGTTCGCGCCGCCGCTAATGCGCGCGAAGCAAGGCGGCCGCGGGATGCACCGAGTTTAAGCGGCAGGCACCGCGCTTGGTGACCGCCGGTGAACGTCGGTGTAGTCCCAATCGATAGATCCGGCTTTTTAGAACAAGGACAAGACAAGGACAGAATGTGAAGCTTTATTTTAGTGAAAAGGGGGCTCTGGTGAGTGGTCGCACGAATAGTGTCGTGGGACACGCGTGCAGCGGCATGCGGGAAGCGATTGAAGTAGGTGGCGGGGTGGTTGCAGGTACGGCGAGCGCGAGACGAGAGTGTCAGCGAGGTGGAGTCGGCCCGCGCGGGGGGTCGACGGCGAAGCGCGGTGGGGTAGGGCAGGGTGGTGGCGCGATGACCGTGCGCTGCTGCGAGTGCCGCTGGCCCGCGCGCGCAATGACCGGCGACTGAACGGGCTCGTGGAGGGGGCAGGGGAGGAGGGAGGTAGTGAGGTGGAGAGACGAGAGACGAGAAAGGGGAGACGTTCCACGAGAGCAGAGGGCAAGAGGCTGGGCTCGTGCGGTGCCATATGGTGTTGGGGGGCCGTGCGTGCGGGAGAAAGAGGTGAAAATGGAGTAGCTGGGATACCGAGTAGGTGGAAAGGAACGACTACTTGACTCGATGTACTCGAATAACGCAGCCGTGCCACATCCTTTATTCCCAACGTGCTATCTGATTTCCTCTCCACGGAGATCGAACGTCCACTTATAACAGAGTTAGGGTAACATGCAATGGCAGTGCACGGTTGGTGGTTGCCCTACTCGCATAGCAGATGCAGAGGTTAGATGGTTGGGATGAGAGGCCGCCAAAAAGGTGCAGGCAGTAGTACTGCCCGAGGATCAGCTCACGCTCGCATTGCTTCTCTGCGCCACTTGTGCATTGCTCTTCGCACAGGGCCACGGCCCTCCTCACCGCACTTCACCCCTCACCTCACTCCACACCTCTGCCATCTCTATCGTTTCATTCCTCTTGAACCCCCTCTTTTCTGCTCTCATCCATTTCCCCTCGCCCCCTCTCACATATCCCCTTGACCCTCCTTCTACTTCCCATTTCCTTCCGTGTTCTCCACGTCCACGCCCCTGCTTCCCTACTCTCCATTCATGGTGTCTCAACCCTTGTCTCTGACTCTCTGCTCCCTATTCGCCTCCGTGTGCCCCTCAACCCCTTCACCACCTTCTGAACCCACCCATGTGCCTACGGTGCGCATAACCCTGTGCGCGCATAACCTGTTCTCATCTCATCCCGCACCTGCATCCCACCCCACGTGCGTGGCGGCAGGCGAAGGCGCTGATGGACCTGGTGCGGTCGGGGTCGGGGTCGGGCTTCAAGTACGGCGCCTCCTTCTCCCAGCCCTTCGACAAGTCCCCGCCCGCTGTCACTCCCGAGCTCTCCCACCGCCGGTAGCTCTGCCCTGGGGGGGCGTCACGTGGCACAGGGGGAACGATGTGGGGGAGGGGTGCGCGTACTTGCACTGCGTACACATAGGACAGGCTGAACGGAGGGGATGGGAAGTGTGGGGATGCTGGAAGGAGAGGGCGTGGGAGGTGGAAGGATGGTTAGTAAGATGTGCGCTCCTCAGGACGCTGACTGGGATGTTTGCTGTTGGGGAAGTTTTCTGTCGCGCTGGACCTGCAGATGTAGCTGCTGCTAGGTCGGTTGCTGAGGACAGTCAATCAGGAGTGCCTGATTGTAGGGTGTGCTTGAATATGCTACAATTGACAGTGGCAGAAGTTTGGTGCGGCTATGCGTGGGCACTGGTGGCCACTATTAGGCTCGTGGAGTGCACCTGTGGTGCTGTCACAGGGCTGCTGTCCACCTGTGCCTCCTGCTGTCTTGTTGAAGAACCAGTAGGGCGGTTGAGGGACAGTGTCAAACTATATGTGCTGCATATTGTCTAGGCTGTAGTGGGGTAGCCCATATGGGGTACAACCCAATTAGGGTTTACTACTTGTACTCCTGCATCCTGTTAGTTCAGTCATTCCTGCTGCTAGATTCTAACATGGTTTCAGAGCACTAAGGTCCGTAGGACCGTTTTTTTTCGGGCCCACCTACCGCTGCGGTTACCGCGCTACCCCACGTACCTGCCTGCCTTGCCTTGCCTTGTGACGTGCTGCACAAGCGCTGCCTCCTGCTGCCCTAGGCCAGCGCGCTGCCCCTAGAGGCCCGTAAAGCCCGCGCGCCGCCTCTACACGCCTGTCAGGCCCGCAAACACGCTGCTACCGCGCGCTGCCCGCACCGAAACCGCGCAGCCCGCACCGAGTCGCGCGCAGCCCGCTGCAGCCACGCGCAGCCCGCACCGGGCGCCGCGCAGCCCGCTGCAGCCGCGCGCAGCCTGCACCGAGCCGCGCACAGCCCGCTGCAGCCGCGCGCAGCCCGCACCGAGCCGCGCGCAGCTCGCAGCTGCCGCGCGCAGCCCGCGCCGAGCCCACGCAGCCCGCGTCGAGCCGCGCGCGGCCTGCTACGGCCTCGCGAGGCCCGCGCGCGGCCCGCAGCAGCCCGCGCCGAGCCGCGCGCGGCCTGCTACTGCCTCGCACGGCCCGCGCGCGGCCCGCAACAGCCCGCGCCGAGCCGCGCGCGGCCCGCTACTACCTAGCGCGGCCGTGCGCGGCCTGCAGCAGCTCCGCGCGCTGTCCGCGCAGCCCGCGCCGAGCCGCGCGCGGCCCTCTGCCTCGGCCCCGACCTGCCGCTGATGCGGCCCCGCCCCGCAGCTGCCACGGCCCCGACCTGCCGCTGATGCGGCCCCGCCCTGCAGCTGCCACGGCCCCGACCTGCCGCTGACGCGGCCCCACCCTGCTCCTGCCGCTGAAGCGGCCCCGCCCTGCAGCTGCTTCGGCCCTGCTCTTCAGCCGGTGTTGCGGCCCCGACGTCGCCGCTGTCGAGCGCCGGCCATGCTCGCCCGGTGAGCGCCTGCTCTCCCAGCCTTTGGTGAGCGCCTGCCTGCCTGCCTGCCGGCCTGCCTGCCTGCCTGCCGGCCTGCCTGTCTGTCTGCCTGCCTGCCTGCCTGCCTGCCTGTCTGCCTGCCTGCCTGCCTGCCTGGCTGCCTGCCTGCCTGCCGGCCTGCCTGCCTGCCTGCGTTCCTGCCTGCCTGCCTGCTTGCCTGCCTGCCTGCCACGCCTGCCCTGCCCGCGCTAATGATACTGGCAGGTGGTCAGATGCAGCTCCAGCGACGTTCACGCGAGCCTCTCACGCCCCAGCAGCTTAGTGAGTGGTATACTAGCTGGGGTTGTCGCGGTAGCCGTCGTAGCTGTCGCCCTGGGGCTGGTCAGTTGGGAGCGTCTAGCAGTGGCCAGCTGCAGCTGCAGGGGCGTCCACGCGAGACACTTACGCCTCGGCAGCTCCAGGAGTGGTACGCTCAGTGTAGCAGGTCTACACGTACAGTTCGCTGCCCGTACGTCATTCGCACAGGTGCTAGGACTGGTCAGCCTTGTGGGACACTTGGTCACACACAGTCCCGCTGCTTCGCCCGTCTGAGCGACGACTGGCGCACAGTGTTTGGCGACGAGGCTGAGCTCCCCACCTGGCTAGAGCTGCATGGACAGGGGGTAGATATCTTTGCGCGTGACTATGATGCTATTCTCACTGCCATGTATGCATTGTCTACTAGTGCTGACCGTGCCTGTTGCCTGTGCGTACCGCCTGACCCTGGTGAGGCTGCTGCCCTAGGTGCTAGTGCGTCTCCTGCTCTAGGTGCTGGTGAGGCTGCTGCTCTCGGTGCTAGTACGTCTACTGCTCTAGGTACTGGTGAGGCCGTGGCTTCAGGTGCTGCTGTGTCTGCTCTCTCTGGTACTGCGCCCACTGCGGTCTCGCACACCTTCACCCTTGACTCAGGAGCTTCCCGCTCCTTCTTTCGCGACTGCACCGCACTCACGCCGCTCCGTCGGCCAGTCCCGGTCTCCCTGGCGGACCCCTCTGGGGGTCCAGTCCTTGCCCACTATTCCACGGTTCTGCCGTGTCCGGCCGTCCCGTCCGGCTCGCTGTCAGGTCTTTACCTCCCCTCGTTCTCTACGAACTTGGTGAGTGGAGCTGACCTCCAGGATGGGGGGGTTCACCAGTTCACTCTTGCGAGTCAGCGAGTGACTCACTGTACGTGTGCTAGGACGGGCCGGCACTTGGCCACGTTCACCCGTGCACCTGGCTCGAGTCTGTACACACTGACCACTGAGTCCCCTCAGGTAGCTGCGTCTGCGTCTGCGTCTGCGTCTGCGTCTGGTCAGCTGGCGGCCCCCTGCGAGTGTCGCGCTTTGTCGCACGACACTCTCCTGTGGCACCACCGCCTTGGTCACCCCTCCTTGCCTCGCCTGCGTAGCATGCACTCTCGCTCCCTGGTCTCTGGTCTCCCCAGGTCTCTGCCTGCCCTCCCTCCCTCGCCTGCGCCGCCCTGCATTCCTTGCATCGAGGGGCGGCAACGCGCTGCTCCTCACTCCTCCTCGTTTCCTCCCACAGAGGCTCCACTGCAGACGCTCCACCTGGACGTGTGGGGCCCAGCCCGCGTCCAGGGACAGGGCCACGAGCGGTACTTCCTGCTGGTTGTCGACGACTACACGCGTTACACCACGGTCTTCCCCTTGCGGACCAAGGCGGATGTCCCTGCTGTTTTGATCCCCTGGATCCGCGCTGTTCGTCTCCAGCTCCGCGAGCGGTTCCGGTCGGACTTTCATGTCCTGCGTCTGCACTCTGACAGAGGTGGTGAGTTCTCCTCCGACCTCTTGGCAGCCTACTGTGCGGAGCACGGCATCACCCAGTCGTTCACGCTTCCGGCCTCTCCGCAGCAGAATGGGGTTGCTGAGCGCCGCATTGGCTTAGTCATGGAGGTCGCTCGTACCTCCATGATCCATGCGGCTGCCCCCCATTTTCTGTGGCCGTTTGCGGTCCGGTACGCCGCGCATCAGCTCAACCTTTGGCCCCGTGTCTCCTTGCCGGAGACCTCGCCCACACTGCTGTGGACGGGGAAGGTTGGCGATGCGTCGCGTTTCCGGGTCTGGGGTGCTCGTGCCTTTGTCCGCGATACCACCGCGGACAAGCTCTCCGCCCGCGCTGTTCCCTGTGTCTTCCTTGGCTTTGTCCCTGACGCGCCTGGTTGGCAGTTTTACCACCCCGCCTCGCGCCGTGTCTTTGCGTCTCAGGACGTCACGTTCGACGAGTCGGTTCCCTTTTACCGTCTCTTCCCCTACCGCACTGCCTCGCTCCCCCCCCCGCCGCTCTTCCTCGCTCCAGGTGCTCCCCAGGTAGACCCCCTCCTCGCTCCCGGTCCTGCTCCTTCAGGTGTTTCTCAGGTAGACCCTCCTCCCTTGACTGCGCCGGTTGAGGTCACTGGTGACTCAGGTCCTACTGAGAGTGGTCCTGCTCGGGGTACTACTTCTGGGGGTGCTGAGCCTGGGGGTGCGGAGCCTGAGGGTGCTGAGCCTGGGGGTACTGAGCCTGAGGGTGCGGAGCTTGAGGGTGTGGAGCCTGGTGGTGCTTGAGTGTGAGGGGTCTGGGGGTGCTGAGCTTGGCGGTACTGACGCTGGAGGTTCTGGAGCTACTGAGGGTGGTGGCGCTGGAGGTTCGGGAGCTGCTGGAGGGCCTAGTACTGGTGGCGCTGGAGCTGGAGGTTCTGGAGCTGCTGAGGGTGCTCGCGCTGGAGGTTCTGGAGCCGCTGGAGGTACTGGTGCTGAGGGTACTGACACCGGAGGTTCTGGAGCCGTTGGGGGTGCGGGCGCTGAGGGTTCTGAGTCTGCTGTTGCGCGGTCTCCTTGGAGTGGCCGCCTTCGTCCACGTGTGCCTCTCACCCCACAGCAGCTGCAGGACTGGTACGGTCGCCGTCAGCGTCGCGCTGCTGGAGCTAGGAGTGGTGCTGGTCCTTTGTCTACTGGAGGTGCTGGAGTCGCTGGTTCTGGAGGTGCTCGTGCTGGAGACACTGAGGCTGGAGACCCTGGGACTGGAGCTTCTGGAGCTGCTGGAGGTACTGGAGCTGCTGGAGGTACTGGAGCTGCTGGAGGCACTGGAGCTGCTGGAGCTGCCGGTATTGGGGCAGCTGCGCCGACACGGCTGTTCTTCGCTCCGCCGTCTCCGTCGTCTCTGCCGCCGCCTGACTCTGCTCTTCGTCAGGTTGTTACTCTCCCGTCGTCTACTGGTCTTCCGTTACAGCCTGGCTCACCGCTGCCTGCTCCTTCTCCTTACACTGAGCAGACTGGTAGTCCTGCTGAGCGTCGTGAGCCTGCGTCGCGTCCTGTCTCGCCTGCTCGTCCTGGTCGTACCGGTCGTCGTGTTCCTCGTTCGCGTCAGCCGGCTGTCCCCAGCGTCCTTGTAGTCCGTCGTCCTTCCTCTGCTCTGCGGCCTGTTCCTCTGCCGTCTCCCCCTGCCGTTCCGGACCCTGAGTCTGACAGGTTTCGTACTGAGCACCCTACTGTCACGCGTCTCCTAGCCACTGTTGTCACTGACCCGTCGTTTGAGTCTACTGCTGCGTCTGCCTTGGTCGCTGAGCTTGTTGACTTTGCTGCTGCCTGTCGTCTAGACTACGCCGCTAGTCTTGTTGCTGAGTCTGAGTCTGTCTATCCTCCGTCCGTCGGGGGTGAGTGTGCTCTTAGCACGGACGTCCTTGAGGACAGGCAGGAGGAGTTCCAGTGTCTTGCTGCTGCTTTACCTCATCTTGTGTCCTCGCTACTTGCCCCTGAGGGAGACCCGGATGCACCAGACATCCCGACTCCGCGCTCTTACGCAGAGGCGATAGAGGGTCCCTACTCCTCTCAGTGGCAGGCAGCCATGGACGCAGAGATGGCTTCCTGGAAGTCCACAGGCACCTACGTTGACGAGGTTCCCCCACCTGGGGCGAACATCGTCGATGGCATGTGGATTTTCTGGGTGAAGCGGCCGCCGGGTTCTCCGCCTGTCTTCAAGGCGCGTTACGTGGCTCGAGGCTTCAGTCAGCGAGAGGGAGTTGACTTCTTCCAGACCTTCTCCCCCACCCCGAAGATGACCACTCTTCGGGTGCTGCTGCACGTTGCTGCTCACCGTGACTACGAGCTTCACTCTCTTGACTTCAGCACAGCTTTCTTGCAGGGTAGCCTGCACGAGGAGATCTGGCTGCGCCGCCCCCCGGGCTTCACTGGGTCGTTCCCTCCTGGTACCCAGTGGAGCCTCCGGCGGCCGGTCTACGGTCTCCGCCAGGCGCCACGTGAGTGGCACGACACACTGAGGACTACGCTTGCGGCTCTTGGGTTTGCGCCTTCTACTGCTGACCCGTCGCTGTTTCTGCGCACCGACACTTCCCTGCCGCCGTTCTACATCCTCGTGTACGTCGACGACTTGGCTTTTGCCACTGCTGACACTGAGGCTCTCGCCCACGTGAAGTCAGAGCTGCAGAAGAGACACACGTGCACAGACCTGGATGAGCTGCGCAGCTACCTTGGCTTGCAGATCACCCGAGACAGAGCACGTCGCACCATCACCTTGACTCAGTCACACATGGTGCAGCAGGTCCTTCAGCGCTTCGGCTTCACCTGGTCTTCAGCACAGGCCACTCCTCTGGCTACAGGTCACACGCTCTCAGCTCCACCTTCGGACGAGTCCGTAGAGCTGAGTGGTCCTTACCCAGAGCTAGTCGGCTGCCTCATGTACCTGATGACTTGCACTCGACCTGACCTCGCGTACCCTCTTGGTCTCCTGGCTCGCTACGTGGCTCCTGGTCGGCACCGACCTGAGCACATGGCTGCTGCTAAGAGGGTACTGCGTTACTTGTGCAGCACATCAGGCATGGGGCTAGTGCTTGGAGGGACGAGCCCAGTTGTCCTCACTGGGCACTCAGACGCTTCTTGGGTTGACGACCAGGCTACTCAGCGGTCGTCACAGGGTTACACCTTCAGCCTTGGCTTTGGTTCAGTTTCGTGGCGTTCTACACGCTCGTCTTCAGTTCTCGGCTCCAGTTGTGAGGCTGAGATCTACGCCACCGCCATGGCTGCACAGGAGTTACGCTGGCTCACCTACCTGCTGACTGACTTGGGAGAGCAGCCTCGTTCTCCTCCAGTGCTGTACGTTGACAACAAGGCCGCCATTGCCTTGTGTGAGGAGCACAGACTGGAGCACAGAACGAAGCACATTGCTCTGCGGTACTTCCTGGCTCGAGAGTTGCAGCAGCGAGGCCAGCTTCGTCTTCGCCACGTGGCCACTCGGGCCAACACTGCTGATATATTCACCAAGGCACTTCCGTCTGGTGATCATCAGCGCTTTTGTACTCTGTTAGGCCTTGTGCCTACGTTTCCACACTTGCTGTAGTCTCTGCTTGTACTGTGATCTGTACATATATATATATGCATGCTGGCTCTTGCTAGGTAGCCATCACTGTACTGTTATTGCTGCATATATATCTCTGCATGTGAACTGGCCCTGTGGCCCTTTGCTTGTGCTCGGAATGCGTGGTGACGTTGTGATCCACCCTGAGCTTGTTTTGCTTCTCTTGACTGGTCGTGTGACCTCTTGTTCTCCCCCACTTTGCCTATGGGGGTGTGTCAAACTATATGTGTTGCATATTGTCTAGGCTGTAGTGGGGTAGCCCATATGGGGTACAACCCAATTAGGGTTTACTACTTGTACTCCTGCATCCTGTTAGTTCAGTCATTCCTGCTGCTAGATTCTAACACAGTGTAGTCATGCATTGGTGGCTGCGAGTCTTTGCATCTGCTGCCTGCTTCGAGGCAGCTCGCCTTTAGCTGACAGACAGCTGTGTGTGGAGATGTGGTGTCTGGGGAGGCCGGGGTGTTGGGGGGCACGGAAACGGAGGAAGGAAAGGAGGATGAGGAGGATGAGAAGGTGATTGCTTTTCATATGGAGGCACACTGCCGGGTTTTAATGATTCAACTGCTACATTGCATGGTTCCTCACCATGCCCTCTGTCATTGCTCTTCTCCCTCACCTCTTGCCCTCTCTCCCACCCTCACGACAACCTGTTACCCTCTCCCCTTACTCCCTTCTCCCCTCCCCCCACCCCCTCTCCCCCTTCTCCCTTTCTCTCCGAACCCCTTTTCTCTCCTTACACATGTCCACTCCTGCATGAGGTCCCTTTTCCCCCAATTCAACGTCTCCCTTCCACCTCACTGTTAGAAATAGTGTGCTATGCCTGTAGCCATTCCCTAGACCAGACTTTCAACTAATGGCATGAAGAAAGCAGCCTGCCTGAGTTCTAGCTAATCCATTTGATACCCATTGGGCACTTAATTCTTTTCACCAGGAACAATACAGCGACTTTGGCTGCATTGGTTCATGTCAGGCTAGTGTCTTCCAGTGTCCGTAGCAGAGATTGTCCAAATGCTGTACTCAGCTGTCTGTCAGAGAACCTTTCCAATTGAGTTCATTTGATAAGGTGCAGTAACTCTCTGCTGCACTACAGTAATGAAAGTGAACTAGAAGTCTCAAGTAGTTCTTGATATCCAGGACTCTTGTTGGGAATAGCTGAGACGAGAGGTTATGCTTATGCATGGGAGTTTTCTACTAACTGCAATATTTTCGTATGTGTTGCCTCGGTGTTGAACTACCGGTATAACAGTTGTACTGCTAGTTGGAGCGAACGAAAACGCTCGCGGCTGTCGCGAACATCGCGGAATTGTGACTTGTTGTGACGCCCCAAGTTACCAGAAACGTTGTGGATTTCTTTTGTCTGACGTGGCAGTCTGATCCCTCGCTAGTGCAACATGAATTTCTGTAGGGGTTGGGCAGGGATCCACTATTGAGTCGCTTGTTCGCCATGGAAATATTTGCGTTCACTGTTTTCATATGTTTGTTGAATGGGGTACGGTAACCCCTTTTCAGACCTCAGGGCCTGTTTGGCTAAGGTTTGGTTGGAATTCGAGCAGAACCCGCTTTGGTGCTGGGGGTCGAGACTGGACTCCTCGCCACATTCATCCACGCGACTGGAATCCTAACGGGAAATGGGAGTGAGGGCGGATGCATTTGTGGGTGGTGTGGGATGAAGTTTATGCCCATCCCACTGCTCAATTTGACCCACTCATCACTCCCCCCTCCTCCACCCGCTATGGCGCCAGCTGCCGCTATGTCTGCAACTCTCGCCGCCACCAGGTGCTGCCGCCACTCAATTCGCCCCCGAGCATCCTGCTGCCCTCGCGCCACCTTTGCAGCCATGCTCGCCGTTGCTCACGGTCGCAGCACCATGCACGTGACAATGCCCGCGCAGCTTACGGGGATGAGCGGTCCTGCTTGTTTTGAGAATTTACACGACGCGAACTGCTCCTCGCCTCCATGGCTCTCATCGCTCTCCCCCCTCCCCTCCTCTCTTCTCCTGTCCCTTCTCCCCCCGCAACCCCCCATTCCGCCAGCTGCGCGTCCGTCGCGCACGCTTCGCAAGTCCCCTCTGCGCGCGCCTCGCGCACCGTGTCGCTGGGGTCGTTTTCGGGGCTCAAGCGCGTGTCGCCCGCCGCCCCCTCCCCGCTGCAAGCACTGCGCGCCAAGGTGCCACCTTTGCCCCTCGTTCGCAGCCCCGCCCCCACTCCCCCACACTCGCCCCAATTCCACCGTTCCTCACTTTGCCATCCCACTCCACCCTTTCTCCACCATCTGCGCCCTCTCTCCGTGCCTTACCGCCCCGCTTCATCTCCCCCAGCACCATGCGCCGGCGGCGGCGGTTCCGCGCAAGGCCATCCGCGCGTCGACGGGCGCAGCGGCGGGCGGCGCCAGCGGGGCGGGCGCAGTGACGGCGCGCAAGGTGCTGATGATGGGCGGCACGCGGTTCATCGGCGTGTACCTCGCGCGCATGCTCGTCAAGGCCGGCCACGAGGTGCGCGCGTGCCGCCAGCCGGGAGAAGGGGGAGGGTGGGGGGAGTGGGGCGGAAGAAGGGGCCCGGGGCGGGGAGTCCGTGGGGAGAGAGGGGCGGGAGGGGATGGGGAGGCTGAATGTGGCGGTGGGGGAATTGATGGGGCAGATGGAAGGAGGATGAGATTGTATGCCGCGTGCTCTCATACGCGCTGCCTCCTTCCCGTCCCGTGCCCCCCGTGCCACCCGCGCCCCCCCCCCGGCCCCCGGGCCCTCCGCGCCCCCCGCGGCCTCCACGACCCCCGCGCCCACGGTGGTGCGCAGGTGACGCTGTTCACGCGCGGCAAGTCGCCGGTGACGCAGCAGCTGCCCGGCGAGAGCGACGCGGACTACAGCGAGTACAGCGCGCGCGTGCGCCACCTGGCGGGCGACCGCCGCGACCTGGACGCGCTGCGCGCCGCGCTGCAGGGCGCGGACTTCGACGCCGTGTATGACATCAACGGTGCGCGCAGGGGAGGGGAGGGAGGGGGAAAGGGGGGAAGGGAAAGGGGGCGGGATGGAGCGGGGCGGGTCGGAGCGGAGCAGGCAGAGAAAGGGAGATATTGTGCCAGGCAAGGCATGGGGCATGGGGTGGATGGGTCATCTCCGCTTCCGTTCCCCCACGTTGTCCTTCCGTTCCTCTCTCTCCCCTTCCCTCCCCGCCCACCTCTGCCTGCCGTCCCGGGTGCCCAACGTGCCCTCCGCGTGGCAGGGCGCGAGGCGTTCGAGGTGGAGCCCATTCTCGCCGCGCTGCCCAACCTCAAACAGTAACGCCACCTGACCCTCCCTGCCGCTGTTGTCCCTGTCCCCTATCCCCCCCTTCCAACCTTCTGCATTGCTTTACCTGCTGCTGCTTCGCATCACCGCATCTTCTCATGCCCTCCCTCCCGGCCTTTCCTTCTCCGCGCCTCCCGACACCACTCTTCTCCCGCCCCTTTCCTTGCACCATCTCCCCACTTTATCAGTCGTCCAAACGCCACTTCATTTCCCAACCTCCCTGTCGCCTCCCCCTCCCCTCCGTGTTCCCCCCCCCCCCCGCCCCCCTCCCCACCCCATGTGTCCCCCCATGTCCTCCATGACCCCTCGTGCCCCACTGTCCCGTGTCCCGCCACGTGCCCGTGTGAGCGCGCACCAGGTACATATTCTGTTCGTCCGCGGGTGTGTACCTCAAGTCCGACGAGCTGCCACACCGCGAGGTCAGCACACCCGCACTCATGCACCCGGCCTCCCCATTTCCTGCCCGAATGTGTGCACACCGCTTTCTCATCCCGGCCCACTTCCATGCCTCAAGCACACCCTCTCCCACTCCCTCCTTCGTCTTCACGCATCCCCGTACCCCTCACTCACTCTGCTCTTCCTCCACTCCCTGCCGTTAACCTCACTTACAACCCTCCCCTTACCTCTAGCCTTTTCCTGCGGCAAGCAACACCTTCCCCCCTTGCTCCGCCCTGCTCCCCCTTCCCCTTTTCCCCTTCCCCCTTCCCTCTTTCCCCTTCCCCCTTTCCCCCTCCCTCCGTGCCTCTCACAGGAGGACCCAGTGGATCCCAAGTCGCGGCACAAGGGCAAGCTGGAGAGCGAGGCGGTGCTGGCGTCTAGCGGCGTGGCGTGGACGTCGATCCGCCCCGTGTACATCTACGGCCCGCTCAACTACAACCCCGTGGAGGAGTGGTTCTTCCACCGCCTCGCCGCTGGCCGCCCCATCCCCATCCCCGGCTCCGGCATGCAGATCACACAGCTGGGGCATGTCAAGGTGGGGGTGGGGAGGAAAGGGGGGGGATGGGAATGGGGAGGGAAGGGGGGAATGGGAGAGGGATGAGGGAGGAGGAGGGGGCAGGGGTTGGAGGGGGGTGGTGGGGTGGGGAAGGGGGAATGGGTGCGCGTGAGGGGGCCGTGGATGTGATGCAGGTCATGCAGGTGGGTGGTGCCTGGTGGTAGGGCTATACCGTAGCTTGAACCACACCACATGTGATGTGACTTCGTGCCTATCACTCCCTCCCTGCAACTAGGGCACAGGCAGACTCCTCTCTGACCATTCCACCCTCGCCTCGCCACCTATCCCTCTTCCATGCAGCCCAGCCACCTCATTCACATGCGGACCACTTTGCGTCTCACCACAACACGCTTTCTCTCCCCCCCACTCAACAACTCCCCATCGCTCCCTCTCCAAACTACTCTCCTCCTCCACTCTTCCCCCACCCCCCCCTCGACCCCTCCCTGTCCTCCCACCGTCTGCCCACAGGACCTAGCGCGTGCATTCCACCTGGCGTTGGGGAACGAGGCAGCATACGGGCAGGTGCTGAACGTGAGTGGGGCGCGCTACGTGACGTTTGACCGCATCGCCACCGCGTGTGCGGAGGCCATGGGAGCACCCAAGCCGCTGCTGGTGCACTACAACCCCAAGGACTTTGACTTCGGCAAGAGCAAGGCCTTCCCCCTCCGCAACCAGGTGCCTGCCCGCCCTCTCCCCCCCTGCCGCCCTGCACCTCGCTGCACCATCCCCACCCCCCCATCCCACCCCAACCCATCCTGCCTCGTCCCATCCCGCCCCGCCCCATCCCACCCCGTCCCGCTCCACCCCGCCCCGTCCCGCCCCGGCCCATGTGTCACTGCCGTGCCACTCACTGTGGCTCTTTTAAGCACCATGCCCTCTGCTGCTTGCCATTCCTGCTGTGCTTCCTCGCTGCTCATTCTCCTGTCTCCTGGTTCCTGCTGCCCTTCCTTTCCTCCTTTCTTCTCGCTCTTTCCAACCTCATCTCTTTTTCTCGGCCCCACTACCCGGCCACCATCCGTCTTGCTTCCCTCGTCCTTTCCCTGTCCCCTCACTCCCCTCCCCCTTGGCCCTGCCGGGCAGCATTTCTTCACGGCGATGGAGAAGGCGGAGCGGGTGCTGGGGTGGAAGCCAGAGTACGGCCTCGTGGACGGGCTGCGCCACTCCTACCACCTCGACTTCTCCCGGGGCGTGCACCGCGCTGCACCCAACTTCACCACTGACGACATGATCCTGGAGAAGCTGGGGGTGTCCGTCACTGCCACTGCGTGAAGAGGAGTGGGGGTTTGGGAGGTGGCCAGGGCAGGAGCAGCGGTGCATGGCAGTGGGGCAGGGCTGTGTGCAGCAATGATTGCTTCCGGTGCGCTTTTGGCCCTCACGGCGGAGCAGAGAAGCAGCTGTGGATTTTGTTGCGCAGTGTGAGATGCTTTCCAGCGCTGGCACAGTGCGATGGCAAGAGGTTGATTGATAGAGAGATCAACTGCCGTGCACTGCACTTGCCATGGTGCTGCTACTGCGATGCCCTTCCTAGGTCCACTACAGTGATGGTGCTGCATCACATGGGTCCAAATCTTGCGTGGGTGGGTGGCCTGGGGTGTGTGCCGCTGCTGTGGCATGGACATTGATTGCACTGTTGCAGTGTGAAGCGCCATTCTGTTTGTTATGGTTTGTGGTTGGTAGCACTTGGCACCTACCTTATGGCTTGCTTGCTGTGCTGCCTGCTCTTCTTTTTGTGCCAGGCATTGCTTATATAGATGCTTAATTCTCCTTGATTGCATTGCAATTATTCTTTCCATGCAAGAGTCATAACAAGTAGTGAGAAGAGCAATTCAGAAAGGTAGCAATACGTGTACATGATGGATCCCACAAGAGGAGTCTGGAGACGCAGAGGTGAGTTACAGGTAGCAGGTAGGGATTGGATTGAACACCTCAAAAGGACCAGGGAGGAGAGGGGACGTATCAGTCTTCGTAAGAACCAGTGCCACTTGTCTCATGACGCAGACCCGGTCTTGTAACCTGCCCAGCACATGAATGCCCAACACTCCCTCTTCCCTCGCTCCCTCCCCACCCACACGGCAGCGCAGGCAGGCAGGGCGCAGGGTTGGTGGAGAGTGGTGCTGAGCGGTAACACGAGGCTCAGAGCCCATCCATGGGTTGGAACTGGCGGGCATTGGCGCGCACCCACCAGCCGACCACAATGGACACAAAAACCGCCGCCAGCGCGAGCAGCAGCGACAGCCCACTCAGTGCCGCTGCTGCCGTGCTGCTCACCCCGCCCTCCTCCACTTGCGCTGCCTGCCAGCCCACGGAGGGTGCGGGCGCGGGCAGCAATTCGAGGTGCAGCCAGTCACAGGAGGCGAGGAAGTGCTGTGACCCGTGCCAGGGAGCGCCGTCTAGTGGGTACCATACGGCTGCCCCCATGCGGTGTGATCCCCCCACCCTCATCTGCACGTCCTGTGGGATGGTGAGAGGGACGGGGTGGTGGGGATCGAGGGGGGTTGGTGGAGGGTGTGGTGGGGGTGACGACGGGAAGGGGGTTGGGTGAACGGAGGGATGGGTGCTGGGCGGGGGATGGGCGAGTGGGTGTGGTGTTGCGGGAGGGAAGACGTGGACGGGTGGACTAAGTGATAGAGATGTGCTCACATACACACCACATGCACCTGCACTGGCATAATAAATACGATCCAACCATGACAGACCGCTCGCCCACATCTAACCACCCTGCTTGCTCTCACCCATCCCACCCACCCATCCTCTGCACCCATCCATCTCCCCCCATCGCACCCACTGCGCCCCAGCGTGTGCACCTGTTGGAAGTGGTCGGCGGTGCGCAGCGGGCGAGTGAGCTCAAACACAAAGTACCCATCGTCACCCGCCGTCGCAAACGGGCTGTCCGCCGCTGTCAGCCCTGCCACGCCCCGTGCGCCCCCAGCACACATGCAGCAGGGAAAGGAGGGCGAGAGGTGAGGGAAGGTGGAGCATGAAGGGGTGAGGAGAGGTGGAGAAACATGAAAGTTTGATGAGAGGAGAGCAGAGGGAGGCAGGGAATTGCAGGGAAATCAAAGGCTGAAGGTTAAAGCGTGGTGTGCAGGTCATGACGTGGTGCAGGACAGTGCATGGCCATGCATGCTTGACGTACCATGCTGCATGCAAAAGTTCACAGCTCACAGCCCAGTTCCCAGGTCCCAGACCCCAAATCCCAATCCCAGGTCCCATACCCCAGATCCCAAACCCCAGATCCCAAATTCCAAATCCCAAAGTCCCAAATCCCAAATACCAAATCCCAAATCCCAAATCCCAAAGTCCCAGATCCCAAATCCCGGGTCAAGGCAAGAGGTGAGAGGCGAGAGTGGGCAGGAGGCGCACCGTAGTCCATCTTGACGGTGGAGTGCGTCCACACACCGTGCCAGTCGTTCATGGCCGTGCCGTTTGATGACAGGCCTGGGGGGGAAGAGGGGACGGGGGGGGAGTGACACACGCAGCATGAGCGAAGCACAGTGTGAGACAGGTAATCCGTTGGAAAGGGTGCGGCCTATGTGGTGATCCAATGGGCACGGAGGGGAGGAGGCCCAATAGGGGAAGTCTGAAAAGCAGGTGAGGAAGAGGAGGAGCAGAAGGAAGCAATGTGGGAGGGGGAGCAGCAGGGGGGTTGAGAAAGCACTAGAGGGTGAGTGGTTGGCAAAGAGAAGGCATTGCAGCAGGGCGCACCTGCAGTGGCGAGGCCATCGAACTGGCGGCAGTGTGGGTTCCATGCGTACCCGTCGTACAGATTGCCCACCCTGCACTCATGCACACAAGGGGGAAAGAGGGTTCGTGGATGGCAGGGGTGGAGAAGCAGCAGTGAGAACAACAACCTTGCAAAAGGGAAGAAGCACGAGCCAGAGAGGAAGCGATGGTGCAAGCGCATGGCAGAATGAGAGGGCAAAGTGATGTGGGATGATGCAAGAAAGATGGCACAACATGAAGAGCTGCACTGAACTGCCTACAAGTGCAGTGCAGTGTGTGCAGTAAGCGCAGCAGCACTGCACTGCTGGCATCGGCTCTGCTGCCTCGTTGCACCATCCCTGCATGCCGTGGCCCGTGCTTGCCCTGCAACCTGCCTCTTTCTTGTCCGGGCCCCGGCGCATTCCCACCGCGCAACACCCAACCATGCCACACTGCCCCCTTCCCACCCAAGAACGCCTTGTGCGTGCAGGCTGGTGCACTCACAACACGCATCGCCACCCACACTTGTGAAAGCAGCACCATGGGCCACCCGACCCACGAGCATGAGTGAAAGCAGACCCATGGGCCACCCGACCCACGAGCATGAGTGAAAGCAGCACCATGGGCCACACACGCACCTGTCGGCGCCAGTGCCGTCCATCTGGTCCATGAGGTTGTGGCCGTACGTGCGGCCAGGGATGGCGGTGTCGACCTCAAAGTGCACTATGTCCACCTCGTGCCCGCGACAGTTGTCCGCCGTGCACGCCCCCGCCAGGTTCGCACACCCGCCCATCTGATCACGTGCCATGCAGGACCATAGCGAGCCCACGCACAGCCATGGAAGCACATGGAAGGCAGGAGAGGAAGGGGGGGTTAAGAGGTCGAACACAGGGACGGAGAATGAGGAATGGTGAGAGCTGTGTGGAGTGCGGTAGAGGGGGCATGAGAAGGAATGCTGGTGCAAGGCGGGGTGCATGAGGGGAGGGAGCAGCGGCAGGGGAAAGCGACGAGTGTGTGAAGAGAAGTGAGGCCTGGTATCTGCACATGCACGTGCACACACACACGAGCACGCAGGGCCTTCGAATCTTCTGAGCAGTGGCCTGCGTGTGTGCAGTTGAAAGGATAACCGGGACTTAATTAGGATACTCATCATAAGGTGATGCGTTGCGTTACTGACATTGTAATAGGTGGCATCATCCCCAATGCCAAACATGAGTGATCCTGATATGGACAGGTGGTGGTTCCTGCTCTCACACACGTAGGCACGCACACACGCATGCATGCACACACGCATGCAGGTACACACACATGCACGCGCGAGCGCGCACACACACACAAACGGAAACACACACACACACGTGGACGCAACCAGGCATGTGCGCACGCACTCTCGCACACACAAATGCACAGTGGGCAAAGGAAAAGTAAGGAATAGGCAGGAGCATGGGGATGAGCACAAGAAAGAATAGCACACATGGACGGAGAGAGCAATGGAGTGTGGGGAAGGGGTTGAGGGAGCAGCATGCGATGGCGCAGGAGCAGGCAAAGTGGGCAAGGCCATGCCAAGCGTGCTGGAAACACGCGTGCACAGCAACACGAACAAGCAGAGAGGTGGGGGGGAGGGTCGCACGGGCAGCAGGGGTACGCACTGGTCGTTGTAGACGTAGGGGCCGGGGACCTTGAGCAGGAAGAACACGTCCCTCCCGTCATGCGCTGCCTGTACCGCAGGGCATGAGTGCACGGAGGTCATTGCGTGTGCGGGTTAGCAGAGGGCGGAAGAGTGCATAGCAAGGGCAAGGACATCTGAACGGTCAATTGTCACTGGGAAAAGAAGAGCACACGGGAGGCGAAAGCGGCAGACTTCCACTTGAGCACCGTACCTCAAGCGCCGTACCGCGAGCGCTGTACCTTGATTTGCATGGAGCCAGAGCCGAAGGGGTACGGGGCAGCGGCCTTGGGGTTGATGGCGGGCTGCAGGCGCAGATCGAGCCCGTCCACTGCCGCCCAGTCCGTGGTGACGCCGTCCACCGTGATGGTCCCCGGCACGTACGGCGCCAGCAGCCGCACGGGGCTGTCCGTCTCCTCGCACGGCGCTGCCACGCGCACCACGCGCGCAGGGGAAAGGGGAGAGGATGGGGAGTGGGCTGTGAGAGCAACGGACAGCCGGCCGTGAGTTAGGAGAGAGGAAGGGATGACGTGGAGCATGCAGCGTGGTAGGGCGAAGGCACGCGAGGAAATGACGATAGGAGTGCGTAGCAGCGCAGGGGAGAGCAGCATAAGGAGCGGCGGAAATGACGATAGTTTCAGCAGGGTCACGGCGGGAATCCAGCGACGAATCCTCTCGTCGAATCAAGCGAGGCCGCATCGCGGCGATCGATTGCGACCTGCGACGGGAGAGGCGTTACGACGCGAACGATCCGAACAGGCGGCAGAGCGCGGGGTGCGAGAGGCGGACATACGTGATTCCGAGTCGTCGTGGCCTTCGTGCGATCTTGCTGTTGGCGCCGCGAGGAAAAGGACGAGAAGCAGCAGCACGACGCGCGTTGCAGCACGGCGCGTGCCGTGGG